TCTATACAGCGAAATTATGTACACCTCATCTGAAAATCGTCATTTGCACAAACCTTCCGTATTGTGTTTCTTTGTCTTCTTGTTCTGTCCCTCATGTTCTGCCTTTAAAGCTGGTTCACTTCTTGTCTTCGACGTCAAATATCTCTCTATACTGCTTGATGTTTTCATACCCATGAATGTCTCTTTAAATACTGCTGATGAGTATTATTAGTAGTACACACCTCAGTACTATGAAACAGTACCAGAAAAGTGGTAGACAAAAACTTATATTAAGGAAGACATATTAAAGTTTGATACTAATAAATAAAAAAAACAGTCAATTAGAGAACCATTGCAAAACCAGATTCACCTATTTTATCACAGTTTGGGACTCTTCATCAGTACACATCCACCAGGGGTCGAACCCAAGACCTAGCGATTACAAGGCGGCCGCATAGACCATTCACCCATAGGGATCCGATCCTATGGCCCCTGAACTACCTAACCCTAACCCGTTGCCCCCACGTTTTCCAGTGGTTCTCTAACTGATGTCAGCTTATGATGAAATCCTCCATGCAATTTACTACAGATGTTCGAAAATTATCGCATGGTGATAGGTGTCACAAGTAAATGTCTAGAGGAAGTTAAACGAAGAGATTCACAACAACAGTCTCCAAGTCTTCAGTCTGAAGCTTCATCAGTTCATCAAATTGAGCTAATCTAAGATAAATTATCTGAATGAGTCCTTTCACTTAATAATAATAATAATAATAATGACATGGAGATAAGCACAAAGTTCTCATAGGCTGTTTTTTCGGGCACCATGCTCAACCAAAGAAACTGATGCGTTATTAGCTAAATCGTTTGCACACGCCTCCTCGTTTAGTACTAATTACAAAATAATTGCAGGGGAATTCAATTTCCAGACGTCAACTGGTTAAGTGGTTCCGGCCCCGAACGCTTCGACGAATTACTTGCCACTATCGACTGTTATGGATGGCAACAACACGTCCAGACACCTACTCATGGTGACAACATGTCGGACCTTGTTTTTTGTCATGACACAATCCCAGTATCCACGTATGTTGGTAATCGATTTTCCAGTAGTGACCATAGAATGGTACTCTGCTCTCTGCCTTTCTCACCACTAAATACAGGAAACAAACAAGATTCAGGAAGCACAATATGTCGTAGTTAAAAATATACAGACTGGGGATTAGTCCAAGAACTTATTCGACTCTGTCAATGGGATTACTATTTTACCACTGACTCCCTGGAGGCTTTAGTGTCCCTATCTTGCAGAAATGTTACCTTTTGTCTAGATACTGTCGCTCCCAATAAGGTATTGAAATTAAGTAGGCATCAAGCTGAATTCATTCCAAAGGTACACCGTAAAAAGTTAAGAAAGTTGATGAAACAGTACTATTGCACTAGGGATATATCACTACTGCACTTAATCCATGAGTCACACGAATCTATCAAGCGCCTACGCTCTCAAAAGGACCTCGACGTAGAGTTAACGGCACTTGAAAGTACCTCCAAAGTTTATAACTTAACAGCATTTCTTAAAAAACGAATGCAGTCGGGAAATCCCCTACTTACTTCACGATAAAGTAATCTACAATGAGCCTGCCATCATCTGTGAACTTTTCAGTGAGTAGTTTGCGAACTTTAGTCTAGAAACGCACATCCCTGGTGAAACTGCACCCCTTACTAGCTCTTCCCTCGGGAGAATAGTGTTCACCAACTAATTAATAGAACAAGCAGTTAAAAGCCTTAAACCTTCTACTAGCACGGGATGGTTTCGCTTCAATGATTTCCTAAATTCTTTTCAACATCTGTGGACACTGGCACACACCCTAATGAGTGGAAAACTAGCTTTATAATTCTACACTACAAATCTGGTGATATGGCAAACGTTCGCAATTACAGACCCATAAACATAAGCCCGGTTAACTCGCGAATCATGGAGAAAGTTGTCAAAGATCAGATTATATACTTAGGGAAGATCTTGTTACAAGGTCTCAACACGGATTTCTCAAAAATAGGTCCTGTGTTACTTGCCACTTCGACTTTTTCAACTGCATAACTACTAGTCGCGAAGCACGTGAGCTAGTCGTTGTTCTTTACTGCGATATATCTAGGGCATTTGACACAGTATTTCAACAGGCTACTGCATACTTCCGTCAACAGCTGTCTTTGCCGGCTCCATACTGAGGATCAAGTGGCCACAAATAAACAGCGACAAGGAACTATGGGAATACACGAACCAAGAAACCATTGGTCAACTAATATATAGAAAGAAACGTAGATGGATTGGCTAAAAATCCGTCAAATGACATCACGCGTCAGGCCTTCGAGCGGAGCTCATGATTGCTCTGTGGCATCTATCCTGCCTAGACCTGAGCTTCTCCTCTCCGTTAATTCGCTGCTTGCTTCTTCTCTTCTATTTGACTCATAATAGAAGTTCAACAGATCTACAGTTAGACTGAAGTTGAACAAGACTTGAAGCCACTTATTTATACATACCATATAATATGTCAAGCTAGTGGCACGTAGTAACTCAACATCCTTAAAAACTCTCATGTCACCATATTGGGAGGCTGAGTAACATTTTATTTTTGATTACAGGTCGATTTCACATAGTATTTTTGGTACAAGTATGGAATTTTCAGCATGGATATCGGTAGCCCAAATTTTGTAGGCCGATCATAAATACATATGAGCAACACGTTTTACCTCAAATAGAGATGGAATCGGGTTACAAACATATCTAAATCAACTAACAGGTACAAAATACCATACAACTGCAAGTGGCGGTAGTGGCTGACTCTGGTGCAGTGAAACAAATCTGCCTGGCACTGACCGACATTAGTCTGCATCGAGTACAATTCACTTCTGATGTTACTTACGATTACACTGCCGAGAAAATGGTACGAATATATTACTCATCTGTCTACAACTCAAGAAAAAGATTCGAGGCCGTACACAGAAATGTTATGTGGGAGAAATGACATCAAGCTTTATTTTTTAGCCAAGTATTGGTAATCTATCCAACAAATATTTGGGTTTTTTGTTAATGTGAAGGCAACATACGTATATTCCTGATGTGTTCCATTGAATGACTAGTTAGTAGACTGTCCTCACAAACTAAAGACAAAAAAGACAGCAACTACGTATTTATGCCACAAACCAAATATATGTAATTTAAATAAGATTCATGCCTGGAGTGTCCTAAGTTGATAGGGACGCCAGTTTACAGGTATCATTAATATGATAAATAATGTGTACAACGAGTAGGCGTATTTACAATGATTTACTTAAACAAGATATGTAAATATAAATAAATTTAGTCAAAATGCGCGTCATTTTTGTTGTCTGCGATACTGCCTATAAGTATGATAGGTTATTCATAAAGTGATGAAATTGTTTTGTAAAACGTAGATTAGTTCACTGATAACAATGTTTACAGCAATATTATCTTCCAGTGTCTCACCACAGAGGTAAGTGTACAGTGAAACTTACAAAGAAGTATTGTTACAGCAGCACGTAATTTTGAGTCTAACGCGACTTAGAACCACAGTGATGAAAAGATTAATCTATACGTAATGATTAATGGAGCATCTAGGAGCTGGAAATTATCATCACGCGCGACAGTCAGAACATAAATACAAGCATGAGAATATTTCTATAACTCCTCAAATAACCAGATTTATCGGCGCCGTACAAGTAGTTTCCAGGTTTTTTTATTCGTATAAAGATGATATTCCACAACTGTCATCCAGGTTGCCCCAAAGTTTGAAACACTTTGGTAAAAAGCAATCATACTCATGACAGTGGTGGAACTCAGTTACGCATGACTTATAATCAGTCAGTTCGTGAAATATCGCTATAGCGAATCACTTTAAAGGAGATATATCTCCTCATATTAGAAACAGTCGACCCAAGTGGCCGCTTACTTTACCTCAAAAATCCAGAATGTGAAAACAACTTAACAGAATTTGTAACTGCTACACCTCAGGTAAACCATTCCTATAGGCTGACGACCTCAAAGTCGTCTACTCCCACTACACTCATAAATTAAGCGATATGATAAGTAAAATACATCTTGAACTAAGTGGTCCCGCAACATGGTGTGCTGAATGCTGTCTAAAGTTTAACATTGACAAATGCGGCTGGATTTGCACCTTAAAAAGTAACCTCTACCTGACTCTCGAAGTAAATGGGCACTAACTAACCAAGCTCAACTCAGTCGTAGATCTCGGTATCAGATACTCTAGTAATTTAGCGTTTTCCGAACAAACTCGCTATACTAGACATAAAATACACAGACTCCTTGGATAAATAACTCCCAAATTTCTTGTTGTGAAACTACGGTTTTATTACACAAAGTATGTGTCCGACCTATTTTAGCATATTGCCCGTTTATTCTTAGCGGATTGCGACAGAATGACAAGCTTAAATTGAGGGGAATTCAGCTGCAATTTACCTCAAGAACTCTTGGTTTAGAATGTTGTCTCAACTACCCGGAGCGTTGCGACAGACTGACATTAGAACCAATCTGTGAAAGACGTATTAAGCTAAGCATTATTTTTTAATACAAGCTAACTAATCTTTACTATCATTCCTCCACGCCAATGACTAAATCTACTGCTGGCATCAGTTACAATCTCAGTAATGATGACAACCCAGGTGGTATAAAGCATCGTCAGACTTACATGTGGTTCAACCTCTCCTTAAATAAGTTTTCAGTCATTTGAAATAGACTACCAGCTGATGGACATAATGCAAACAAACAACCAGTGTTCATCTCCTCTGTCATCAGACTGCTTAAAGATGACAATCAACTTCTACGTTTGACTCTTACACCCTCTTTTTCACCCTACACAGATATTTTAAGTTCTTTAAACGTTTAGTTACAACAAACTACAATTATAAATTTTAATATTATTGGAACTAGGTGATAAACATTTCTACACAGGACAATAAGATTAGTTCACACATAATATAAAAGTTAGCATAACGGGACTAGTTAGTTTGTGTACCAAAATAATCATAGTTACTTTTACAGTATATATCACTCCTTGAGGAATCCACTTGCATTCTCCTGTGCTGCTGTCGTTTTTCTTCTGTCTTCTCTCTCAACATTTTAGCTTCTATTTGGCATTTTTAATTAGCATGAAGAATGTAGATATTTGACCACTTATAATGACTGACGATCTGCAAGCATTATCAGTCCCGTATCCTACAACTGCCTCGTGAATTACACATTACCCTCCCCCACGACGCATCCTGGATTACAGTTGTGAAATATACCTTTATACCAATGCGAAAGCATTAATTTATAATACTTCACGATTGTAACTTATAACATGACTGATCTTGCCTGTAAAAATTGCTTGCATTTCTTGTAGACAACCATTTATAAGAAAATATAAGAAAAATATCATTATTATTAGTCTTCGTTGAGTTCAATTCACTTCGGGTGTTACTTACGATGAAAATGCTGAGAACACTATACAAGTATATCACTTATTCTTAAATTAATACCCAATTTGGACATAAATCAACAATAAGATTCCATTTTGTACACACCAAAGTTATATGAGGGAAATGTCTTCAAGCTTCATTTTTCACCCAATTATATGTAATACATCCAAAACATACTTGGATGTTTTTGTTAATGAGAATTTCTTCCGAATACAAAGGTTTGCCTTCTTCAAGTGGATTTCTATTGCTTCAGCTCTATGTAGGAGACGAACTCGTAAAGCAAAATTAAAGTTAGTCGGAATGCGATAAATAATTTTAAACGCAGTAATAACGTCAACCTTATGCTTAACCATGCTGCATAATGCTCGGAAAATGATGATGAACCTGCCAAACATATATATATATATATATATATATATTAGAGTAGAGCCAGAGATCAGGATCTAATTCAAATAATACTTATCTATGCCTGTACAATTGGTGTGTTCTACATAGGTGGGAATACGTATGTATTTTATCATACTATTATTATTATTGAATATGCCTACTAATCGTATGTGTAATTTATCATATTGATGACACCTGTAAACTGGCGTCCTTTATGTACAAAAAATGAGAATATACTTTTATTATTATTATTGTTAATAGAAGGAAGACATGTACGTTCACACTACTTTATATCTCGTTCTTATATACGATATAAAACTATACAACTATATACACGTTTTTCTCCTCTCTACGAGGTTGAGAAATACAGGGATAATTTTTATGATGCAGAAATCATCCAAATTAACAGAAGTATAAAAGAAATCCAATGCATTATCAAAAAAATAAATAAAAATAAGCAAACAAACCCTGATAAACTAGTGAAAAAACAAGGATCGTAGATAGTTTCGTTCAGATGATGATGATGAGGCGGATGTTTGTTGACGTTGTCTTAATAGATTAACAACTTGATGTAAACACACTGTCTCTGTAAGCATTGATATAAACTCGTTGATTGATTTATCTTTTGGAGATTTTAAACCTTCATAAACTAGTGCTAAGTATACACGACGCTCTATTTTTTTAATGTAATATGTATGCGACAGCTTTTCATCGTATACATAACGTGGTTGTTTTAGTAATTCATTAAGATTATCGTTTTCATCATCACTTCCATGATGAAGTGTACTGTTGATTTGCATCACAATTGTATACACGTCGACTGGAGATAAACAACTACCCTGTAAGATATAAGAAATAAAAAACATGTATTTGTACTGTGGTGAGAGCAGACTGCTAGCCAATCGGTAGACATTAATTTACGTCAATGTCTATGTCGCTAATATTGGCCGTGAGAAAATATGAACAAGACTGATTCAACAACCAATCACAGCAGACTTAACGTGGACAAATACGATTCGCAGATATATGGCTTAACTTTTTGAGAAACCAGTCACAAGCAGTACAGAATAGCCTTGAGCAAGAAACAACCAATCAGAAGACTGTGTTTGTCAGCTTGAATAAGCTATAATAATGTACATGAAATATATGTAAATACGTGCTGATTTCCGTAATGAAACGATCTGTTGCCTGGCTCTTTTCTTCTGTTGTTACAATACAACTAAATGTAACAAACATGATATAGTCTTTCTCTCTCAGTATACATATACACAAATGTGATACAATAATGCAAGAAATGTTGCATCAAATGTTAACTGACAAAAATCTTGAACAGAAACAAAATCTCGACGCGACGACCCATTTCTCCAGTGAATAAGGGTCATCACCACATGCTCCTGACCTTGACAATAGAACTGGCATATGCATGTGGTGAAAAATATTGAAAGAGACAAGCAACTGTTGAAACTGGTACACAACTTAAGGTTGACTGGTTAAAATAATTACTGTCTCATCATTTTTAAGGTATTACTAACCAGTAAGTGCGCCACTTCGTTTTGTGAAATGCACCCAACTTGACCACTTGCAATTCCTGCAAATTTAGCGATGAGCTACACCTATTGTGTGAAGGCTAGTGATACTACCTGGTTGCCCAAACCTCAGTAGGTGGAGTGGGTTTCCAGCGGGTGACTTATTGGTTTCAAATTGGAGTGCCTAGACTGATGAGCCACAGCTAAATTTTAGAAGTGGAATCTAAATTTAGACTGTTTTAAAGCCGTGAACAGCCATGTGAATAAAAGAAAGGAAATATTTGATGAGATTGACATAATTTTGACAACCTGTCTACATCCCCGGGTTATATATGTTTCTACCCAGCATGATGCATTAACTTGCCTCCATTGTTATGGTTTCACTCATCCAATTATATTCTTAGTCGGCAGTATGTACTCACATATACTTTAAATCAACTGCCAATCCACTGATCTACACTTTTCGAAGGAAAAATACCGTAATGGATCGAATCTTGCTTCAGGCTGAAGATGGCTGCATCACTTGATATACTGGTGATTACTGTTTCACTTGACAATCCTGGACGAAGAATGCAATGTGAGCTAAATTTTTTTACTTTTTGATTTACAGCTTGATTCCACACTGTATTTCCGATACAAGTATGGAATTTTCAGTATGTGATATCGGTAGCCCAAATTATGCAGGTCGACCATAGATGACAGGTGTGCGTCGGCAGGGGTCGAACCTCGGACCATGTGCATGGTCGGCGAGAGTCCTAACCACTGTGCCACCGACACACATTCAGTACTGTGTGTAAACCTGCTGTCCAGACTGCAGCTAATACAATTATTCTTCCTATAAACCTTGAGCCGAATAAAACAAAAATATATGCTATTACGCAACTACTTTATCTCCTAGACGATCAGCAACTTGTGGAACAGCTAGTGTGATACTAAATATTCGACCATGATGAAGTAGATGACGCCGGACTTGAAGCCATAACTTACTTCACGAAAATCAAATGACTGAAGTCATAAGGTTATTTTCCACAATATAATGTACATTTCCTATCATTATGAAGCTTAAGAGACTAATTACCACACATACGAACCTATATATAGGCCTCAAAAATTAGGGTTATTTAGTGACAGTGTCGTATGGTTGAGTAGGTCAGCTGACTGTGAATTTGTGTTGTCACTTAGTTGATAGTGTGTCTCCCTGTATGTGTGTTTATTAGTTGTTTGGCTCGTTTATACTAGAGAGATTAAAGCTTCGGGAGGAATCAGGCAACTTGGTGCCAGAGTGAGATATGCACATGTTGCTCTGTGCGTGTGTGCATAACACATATATATGTTCGTGTGCGTGTTTGTGTATTAGATTGACTATAGTGAAGGGTGTGTCAGTGTGGTGGATACAGTGTGTGTTTGTTGTAGGTTGGAGTGTGGAAGGTGATCAGTTAGCGACGCCTAATAACTCAGAAACAAGAATTGAATAAGGATTTGTTGACAAATAATCAAAACTTTTGTTGCTGTAACACACATGGTGTACGTAATTCAGGGAAGTTAGGATGATGGACGGAATCATAAGAAAAACAGAAATTAGTGAGAGTTAAAATCCCGTTGAGTTTTTTTCATGCGGTAATGAAGACTTTCAGCTGACAATTATTTTATTAATGTTAAATCTGATCTTCACAAAGTTTTATAGTTGTTCCAGGTTTCAATCCCCAGCCACCGACGCACACCTTTATATCGCTAAGCCAGTAATAAGACTGGTAAAGAGTAAAGTTTGAGCATGGGGCTAGCAACCTCATAAATATCACTGCTACTGAAACTTCAAAGCTCCACCTCGAAGCCTTATGTTCCACTGGGAACGTTAAGGAATAAAATAAAGTGGAATAAACAAGGGATCTTAGGGACGTGTATATCCTACGCATAGAATGAATTGATTTTTGTAAATAAACAACACAAAAAGTATGAAATAGATTTATCACGTACCAATGGAGCAGTAAAAATTGGCGGAATACTACCAATGCCTTTTGGGGCATCACCAACGGAACCTCTCAACACATAACCATGTCCAAGGAATGCAAACGACTGACAAGTTGTATCAAACAGTAGGGAAATGTTTAACGCATTAGTTTCTTGTTGGAAATGTATAATGCTTAAGACAAAATATAAAAAGAAAAGGTTGTGAGGGTTTCCGGTGGGTGAAATTCTCCATAAGTATGTTATATGAATATGAAGGGTATTTCAAAATAAATCTAATATGTATGACAGATATGTGATTAACTAATTATATTAAATATTCCCATAGTAAAATTCAGAACAACACATTTAAGCGAACAATACTGTTTTCAATTAGATCTCATCAGGCTAAACTCTAATATATATAAGTTTACAAGTAAAAATTCAAATATAATCCAATCATGGTGTTTTCTCTGTAAGATTAAAAGATGGTGAATATAAATTGTGCAATTAGTCACAGTAGTAGTAATGATAATAATAATAGTAATAAAGGAGATGGGCTATCCGAGTAGTTTCATAAAGAAACATGAAAACAACAAAGAAAAAACATGACTCTGACTGCACATAAGAAACCTCTATTTATTAAGTTACAATTCAATGGTAACTTATCAAGTGAGATTCTATTCCAAAGACTTTCAAGGAGTATACGAAGAACATTTTACGCAGCACACCTATGTTTGTCATTCTCTAGCCGATGAATGATTGGGACGCAAACGAAGGATAAGCGAGATAGTTTCTGCAACATCTATGTGCATTTATCAATTCATTCACATGCTACTGGGCAAATGGAAATATTACTTTGAGAAAATTCCGTGTTTTAGCCACTCAGATGCCAGCAGATCTGTCTGTCTGGATTCAACATAGAACTTGGCACCGAAGTGCACCAGTTCGAGTTGCCACCTTCCAAATAGCACACAGACATAGACAAGAAGATGAGTGAAGAGAATCAATAGAGTATAAGAGTGAAACAGAATGGGTGGTAGTAGAAAGGAATGTGAAAGATTACAGAGACTGAATACATCTGAGCTGGCCATTGACAACGATTTTGAGCCATGTCACCTATTGTCTCCAGCCATTGATTCCTAGAGTCCTGAGGGACCCAACCCGGAAGTCTGCATCTCCCTACCTGACTCAGTTCAACTGTCAAGGATTTCATGGATTGATGCCATGTTTTTGTTTGGCCACCACTTACTCTTTTCCAACCTGCACCTATATCAGCTAGTAATGCCCGTCGTCGGGGGAGGCGATGGTTAGGCATGCGCACCACGTGACCTAGCCATCTCAATCTATGTAACTTTATAGCCTCGTCGATTGATTTTCCCTCTTTGCCCAACACTCTACGCCTAACGTCAACATTACTTGCCTTTTTAAACCACCTAACGTGAGAAAGAGATCGTAGACATCTATGATCGAAAGCAGTCAACCTTTTTCATGTCTTCAACTCGTATTGGCCATGTTTCAGAGCCATAAAGAAGGACGGAGCGAACTGCTGAGCAGTACACACGTCCCTTGGTTGATAACCGGATGTCACGCCTACGCCAGAGATGGTGTAAGTCAGCGAAAGCAGCTCGAGCTTTTCGGATCCGTGCTGAGATTTCATCGCCAATCAGTCCGTTGGTGCTGATACAACTTCCCAAATAGGTGAAGTGGTCAAAATGTTCTATCACTTCACTCCCTATCACTTAGCTAGGAGTTGACGTAGTCCAGACCTGTAGCAGCATCTTACATTTTGCAGGGGCAAATCGCATACCAAACATACGAAGATTGATGCTCAAAGTGATCAGAAGACTCTGCATTTTGTCAGCATCCTCCCCTCACAGGACTATGTCATCTGCACATTCCAAGTCCATAAGACTATCCCCTGGTAACAAGTCGATTCCTAAGTCGTTACGTTCAGTTAAGGATACTTCCATCAGGATATCTATGATGAAGTTAAACAGAAATGGGGAAAGTGGACATCCCTGTCAGACACCACTGGTTGTCACCAATTCAGATGACAATTCCCCATAAGCCTTTACACGGCTATATGAGTTTGAATAGTGCCTTAATTAGTGCAATGTACTTTCTTGGCACTCCCTTCACAGTCAGACATTGTCATAGTACCTTTCGATCCACGGAGTCGGAGGCCGCCTTCAAGTCAAGAAATATGGCAATTGTTGGACACCGAAAAGTGTGTCTATGTTCTAGAATCTGTCGAAGAGTGAATATATGATCTATGCAACCTCTACCTGGTCTAAAGCCTCCTTGATTTTCCCTCGTCTGTTCCCCCCGAGTTCTGCTTAGTCTATGCATGATTACTGAGCCTAGGATTTTAGAGACTATGTTCGTTAGGCTGATCCCCCTATGATTATCACACGAGGACTTGTTTCCCTTCTTGAATATCACTATAATAAGTGACTTACCCCAGTCTGATGGCACTGTCTCTGATTCCCAGACTTTGCCTAGTACCTCAGTTAATCTACAAACTAGTATGTCACCCCCATATTTAAACACCTCCGGAATAATTCCGTCGGGTCCTGCTGCTTCGCCTCGTTTCAAATTACAGATAGATTTTGTGACCTCACTTACAGACGGCGGACCAGTGTCTATATCCCATTCGGGTGTGTTCTGGATGTCGGGGAGGTTCAGTGTGGCTGTAGGCAAGTTAAATTGTCCCTCAAAGTGTTCTTTCCAGCGTTCGTCTATCCTGAGATCTAATTAAGGAGCCATTTTTCTCAGAAATAGTCTCACCTATGATTTGCCTTCTCCCACCCGTTTCCCTGATGAGTCCAAAGACTTGCCTAGTGTTGCCAGCAGATCAGTCTACACTTTCGTAAAGCATAACTCAGACACTTTGTTTTCCCTTTAATAATAATAATAATAGTGCAATTTTATTGATACCAGTTGAACAATATGAATACACAGACTGTGGGTACACGAACAGCAAAACAGTAAATCTTAAGATGCTTAAATCGCAATACCGTTAATAAAAAGGTCTTTCATAAAGGAGACTTAACCTGGCACAGACCCTCCTCTCTGGACAAACAATTAGAATTCAACAATAGTTAAAGGATATAATTTGGAAAATAATGAGCTGAATTACCCTTATTACAGGTGTTCAATGCTGTAATAAGATTCAAAAAACCCGGTTAGAAACCCACTACCAAGAGGATTTTATAATTGAGCAACCAAACTGATTTAGCATATACAGTAAACTATATTCGCTCAACATCTCATATAACCAGTTAACACAGTTTAGCAGAACAACCACATAAACTCTAGCTTGAAGAGTAAGGGATCATCAGCGGATGGTAAATTTAAATGCGACTAGTCAACTCTAGTCTTATTGAAGACTCCATACATCTTCTTGAAAAAGTAAGTCTACCAAAGTTTCAAATTTCTCTTATTTTGCTGCCATCTGACTATAACTTTAAGACATAATCATGAAGGTATGCCTTCAGCAATTGTCTTTATTCATAAATGATAACCTGGGAGTACTGGACAGCTGTTTCGTCCTAGTTTGGGACACTTCATCAGTACGCAACCACCAACAGGGATCGAACTCAGGACCTTCTGGTTACAAGGCGAGCTAGCTCATAGACCATTGAACCACTGGGACCCGAACAATGGTCCTTGAATTCTAAGTTCTGCCAATTCACTACATAGCGCGACTATTTCGAAATGTCTTCTTCGATGGCTTACTGCCTTATATTCAACCTGCTGTACCCTACTGGTTACGGCTTCCCATTAGAATCCCAGGTTAACTGCCTGCATAGGGCCAGTCACTAGTGAGCAACAGAGTAATTTTCAAGTATTGATTTTGTAGGGAATTTGTGTATGATTGCATGGAAGATTGCACTAGATCGAGTCTCAGTAGCTCAATGGTCTACGAGCTAGCTCGCCTTGTAACCAGAAGGTCCTGGGTTCGAATCCCGGTGGGTGCGTACTGTTGAAGAGTCCCAAACTACGACGAAACAGCTTTTCAGTACTCCCAGGTTTTCCAGTGGTTCTCTAACTGATGTCAGCTGATGATGAAATCCTCCAGGCAATCAAACACAAAATCCCTACAAAAACCAATACTTGAAAATCTTAAATGACAATTTCTGGCTGTGAGTAGAATGACTTGGAGATACATAAAATGTATCTGTAAGAAAGTAATAAATATTGACCGAACTAGATAATATTTGAGAGACCGGATAAACTTACAAACAACCGGCTTATGACGAGTGTATTTTTAGTTAGCAAAACATTACAGTGTTGACTGACCGAACCATAAATTCTAACAGGTATGGCCAAGAGCCGACATCAGTTCTGTCTGTCTCTGTCTGTTTTCGACATAGAACTTTGCACAAATGTGCGGAAGTTCAAGTCGCCACATTCCGTGTAGCACGCGAAGCAAGAGAAGAAAGTACAAGAAAAGCATAATAGAAACAGTGAGCAGAGGTGTGAGACAAAGGAGTAATAAAGAAATACAAAACAGTTTCATTGAAGATCATAAGTCACAGGGAGTGGATGCATCTGCGCCACTGAGAACGATTTTGAGCCATGTCACCAATTGTTTCCAACCATAGATTTTTGCCGTCCCGAGGACCCCAGCCTGGAAGTCTACACCTTTCTACGTGGCTTAGACCAACTGTTGTGGATTTCATTGACTGATGCCAAGTTTTTGTTTGACCGCCGCTAGCTTTTTTCCAGCCTGACCCTATATCCGCTAACATTGCTCGTCGAGGGAGGCGATGGCTTGGCATGCGTAACACATGTCCTAACCATCTCAGTCTTTGTAGCTTCACAACTTCGTCCATTGATTTCCCCTGTTTACCTAGAACTCGACGCCTAACTTCAATGTTGCTCACCTTATCATGCCACTTTACACGGGAAATAGAACTCAGGCACCTATGATCAAAGACAGCTAGTCTTTTCATGTCTTCCACTCTCAGTGGCCAGGTCTCACAACCATAAAGGAGGACGGAGCGGACTTATGAGCAGTACACCCACCCTTTGGTCGATAGTCGAACATCTCGTCTACGCCAGAGTCGGCGTAAACTAACAAATGCGAAACGAGCCCCTTGTATTCGTGCTGAGATTTCGTCAGAGATCAGCCCGTTGGCACTGGCTGATGGTACTTCCCAAATAAGTGAAGCGGTCAACGTGCTCTACCACTTCACTTCCTATTTTTAAACTAGGCGTCGATGTAGTCCAGTCCTGTAACATCATCTTGCATTTGGCTGGAGCGAATCGCATGCCAAACATTCGTAGATTGCGGCTCAAGGTGTTCAGAAGACTCTGCATTTTGTCAGCGTCTTCGCCTAGAAGGACTATATCGTCTGCATATTCCAAGTCAACCAGATTATTCCCCGGTAGCAAGTCAATCCCTGAGTCGCTGAAGTCACCTAGGGTTAAGTCCATTAACACATCTATGATGAAGTTGAATAGAAATGGAGATAATGGGCATCCTTGACGGACACCACTGGTCGTCATCAGTTCAGATGACAGCTCGCCGTAAGCCCTCACCTGGCTGTATGAGTACGAGTAGAGTGCCTTAATCAGTGCAATATATTTTCTCGGAATTCCCTTTACAGCCAAGCATCTCCAGAGAACCTCCCGATCGACAGAGTCGAATGCTGCCTTTAGGTCAAGAAATATAATGACTGATGGACGCCGGTAGGAATTCCTATGTTCTAGAATCTGTCGGAGGGTGAAGATATGATCAATACACCCTCTTCCTGGTCTAAAGCCTGCCTGGTTCTCTCGTGTTTGTGCTTCCCGAGCACCACTCAGTCTACGCATGATTATTGAGCCTAAGACTTTAGATACTATATTAGTCAAGCTAATCCCTCTGTGATTATCACAGGAAGACTTGTCTCCCTTCTTGTATATGGGGATAATCAGTGACTTACACCAACCCGATGGGACTTCTTCTGATTCCCAAACGCTGCCTAGTACCTCAGTTAATCCGGACAGTAAGCTGTCTCCACCGTACTTAAATACCTCTGGCGTCATTCCATCAGGTCCCGCTGCTTTGCCTAGTTTCAGATTGGTGACAGCTTTAGTAACCTCAGTTAGTGACGGAGGACCTGTATCTATATCCCATTCAGGGAGGTGTTGGATGCTCGGAAGGTTGAGCGTGGCTGTGGGCAAATTAAACTGCTCCTCATAGCAGTTAGAGATCCATTTGAAGTCTCGGGAGTACTAGACAGCTGTTTTCCACTGGTTTGGAGCTATTCAGTAGTATACATCCACCGGGGTCCAAACCTTAAGGTGACACAGCAGGCTCGTAGACCACACAGCCAATCTGATTCGATTCAATGGCCCATGAATCCCAACTTCCGCTAGTGCGATCCACCGAGCCAGGTAAAAGGACATTGGCCAGAGGTTGCGTCATATATCGAGAATTGGCAGAAGCTGGAATTCATGGGTCATTGAATCGCATCCCAGTGGTTGAATGGTCTACAAGACTGCCTTGTAACTGGGAGATCTCGGGGTCAAACCCTCATGCATGCGTTCTGTTGAAGAGTCCTAAACTAGGATGAATCAGCTATCCAATACTCTATGGTCTACCAGTAGTTCTCTAACCGACGTTAGCTCATGATCAAACCTGGAACCAATGAAATCACCGCAAACGAACACTTGGACAGACAAAATACATTATCAATCTTGCTTGAAGATTTACATTGAATAAAGTAATCCACCTACCTACCTACCTATTGACTAAATCTGGATTTTCCGATTTCACTGTAGCTTCGATTTCATGTAGACCAGATACAGAACGAGTTAAAATTTCAAACCAGTATAATGTATATTTACTTAATAAATTCGCATAAAAGCCTTCAAGCCATGAAACAATCGCAGGTTGTCTACCGAGTGGAATAACGCCCTGTTGAGAAAAAAAACAACAACAGCAGAAAACTAAGTTCACTAACCAGCATAGTTTATCGACAAAATAATATAATCAATATTTCTAAAAGGTATTACATGTGTATGCATATACATGTGTAAGTTGCATACACCACACAAAAGACAGGATTTCAAATATCTTTCTAAATGTACAAGTAAAATATACCTACAAATAAATTTTTTTCAACAAATGAAGATAACAAACATAAAACATATTTGTGCACTGGATTAACCATCACATTCGACGTGTTGTTCAAGCTAAATTGATTGACACAAGTAACACAATAACTGATAATCTGATATGTGAATTAACGCGTCACTGTGCCACTGCAATTCATACACTGTAGCGGATAGTTTGAAAACACGAACAAATAGTAGAAATTAATTTCGGCAGTCTCACTGGATGAACGTACTGCATATTTAGACTTAGTAAATAACTTTTCACATTAGTTTATTAGTAATTATTATTGGTGATCAAAAAGAATGTATGCTAGAGGTACTTATTGAAAGATTCAACAACTCAAAGGGTTAAAAGCAAGGATATCGTTCCAGTGATTCCCTATTTTTTTATTCGCGAACGAAAATGTACGAAACTGTTGTTGTACAGTCGTCGAGAATAACAGAATCATTGTAAAACACTGGTAGACAAAATGCATTCTTACGGGTGATTATGGCAGTAAAGAAACGACAAAAAGTTAGGCTAAATGAAAGTACTTCGTCATGTACACAACTCAGTTGAACAGACGAAATTTCACATAGACGTAATATACACAATGGATCATAAGAATTATAAAAAAGACGGTTGCAGCGAAGGAAATTTTCTTTTCGACGAAGTCATCAACTAGGCTGTACATTCGTGTATATATATTAAATGTGTGAGAAAGTTCCAGAATTATTTCCGGTCGGAGGTCAGATTGTGACCACATCCAATCCAACAGCATTGGTGTGAATTGAACTGCCTCTACCTTCGAGTTGATGTGTTCGAAAAATCTATCTATATCCTGTGTTCTGAGTACAGTGAATGCATTATCTACATACCTCCACCATACTTTTGGGGTGGGGGTGAACGTTTCAATCGCTATGCTTTCCCACCTATCCATGAATATATCTGCTACAACCAGGGATATTGGTGATCCAATGGCGACTCCCTCAGTTTGTTTGTATATTTTCCCTTGGAATTTAAATACTGTGGAAGTCAGGCATAGCTGAACTCCCAGCATTTTGTCCTCGAGTGGCACTATTGTCCTAAGTTCGAGTTCTTGGTCAGAAATGAGTTCGTTTCTGACTGCCTCTATAACCATATTTATTGGTATACGTGTATATAAACTGACAATGTCAAAACTAACCATTTTTCTTCATTATCTAATTTTAAATTATCTAATCCGTGTTTTAGTTCATAAGAATTAGTTAGTCTAGATTTCGAGTGGCTTTTTAGAGGACTTAATACCATGGCTAAATATTTAGATAATTCATAAGTAGGCGAATTTCTACAATCAACTATAGGCCTAATAAGGTATCCTGATTTATGATTTATGACTGCTCTCGCAACACTTCTAGTGATAAAGTGACATTGTGGTGAGAGCAGGCTGCTAGCCAAAGCGGTAGATAGTAATTTACGTCAATGTTTATGTCCCAAATATTGGTCGTGAGAAAAATACGAACAAAGACTGATTCAACAACCAACCACAGAAGACTTCGCGTAGGCGAATACAGTTAGCATATAGATGATCTGACATTCTAGCAACAGCCAAAAAGATATGAAAGATCAACTTTCAGTGAGAAACAACCAATCAGAAGACTGTGTTTTTCTGCTAACAATAATCTATAATGTACATGAAAATGTATAAATATGTATTGATTTCCTTATTAAACGATCTGTTGCCTGACTTTTGCCTTCTGTCGTTACAATTGGTGTCGCTGTAACAATGAAGATCCCATGGGCAACTGTGTTTGAAGGAGACATACGGAGCTTCTCATGTGACTTCGAGGCCGTTGCTGAGCTGGTGTGTGTCAAGGAGCAGACGGCGAAGGCGGTTGTGCTGGGGATGCTATTGAGAGGCCGAGTGAAGGCGGCATATGACAGCACAACAGTTGGTCTAAGCCACGTAGGAAGGTGTCGACTTCCAGGCTGGGGTCCTCGGGACGGTAAAAATCTATGGTTGGAAACAATTGGTGACATGGCTCAAAACCGTTCTCAGTGGCGCAGATGCATCCACTCCCTGTGACTTATGATCTCCAATGAAACTGTTTTGTCATTCTTTGTTACTCCTTTGTCTCACACCTCTCCTCACTGTTTCTATTATGCTTTTCTTGTACTTTCTTGTCTTGCTTCGCGTGCTACACGGAATGTGGCGACTTGAACTTCCGCACATATGTGCAAAGTTCTATGTCGAAAACAGACAGACAGAGAGGTCAGAGGGCACAGCGTCTTGGAAGACATTGGTTGAACGATTGGTGTCGGAGTTCGACAGCGCAATAGACAGACAGTAATGTAACAACAGAAGACAAGGGCGAAGCAACAGATCGTTTTATTATGAAAATCAACACGTATTTATACATCTTTCAACTACATTATTATAGACAAGCGCAGTCATCTGATTGGTTGTTTAGGTAGACAAACGCAGGCTTCTGATTGGTTGTTTCGGGATTCCTTGACAAATAGAGTTCTCTCTGCGAATCATATTTTGCCACGTTAACTTTGCTGTGATTGGTTGTTGACTCAGGCTTGTTCATATTTTCTCACGGCCCATATTAGTGACCTAGACCTTAACGTAGATTAGTGCCAACCAATCGGCTAGCAGCCTGCTCTCACCACACTCGTCCCCCCGTCAAATAGCTTCGTGCGCAGACGTTCCGACCTTCTGGGTGCTACATCCTCTAGTTGAGGATTGTTACTGACCGGCTTGTCCCACTGTACCCATCTTTGGAGCTGACTGGCGTTAACTCGTTTCTGTTTATCACCTCTTCGGATGGTATATACTTGACCCCGTCTTTTTGTGATTGTGTATGGTCCTTCCCACTTTGGAAGGAGTTTCCGTGAACCTAGCCCGCCTCCAACTGTATATCTCCTGTCTCTACACTTCACTTGGTCCCCGACTGCAAAGGTAATGCACTGCGTCCTTTCTTTCATCTGAGACTTCATGACATCACTGCGCTGCTTCCGTATTACATTCTTGACTGCCTCTTTCCTCTCTGCTTTTAATTTCGTCGTACTCCACTTTTGGTGCATGGGCCAGGTCTCATTGTGTACCGGTAATCGTGGTTTTCTACCATACATCAGTTGGAAGGGTGACTTCTTCGTTGTTTCCTGAGTGGTAGCGCGATGTGTTAGTAAAATCAGTGGAAGCTCCGTTTCCCAGTTCCCGCCCTTCGAGGCCAGCCACTCCTTCAGTGTACGGTTGTTTCTCTCCGTTAGGCCATTCGTTTGTGGATGGTATGGGGTCGTTCTGATCCTCTTGATGCCCAGCTGTTGCAAACGGGAAGTAAACTCTTCACTCTCGAAACAGGGACCTTGGTCTGTCAGTATTGTCTTCGGTACGCCGTGGTCTGCAACAATGTGTCTAACTACTGCATCTGTCACGGTTCTTGCACGTTGGTCTGGGATTGCTACGGCGTCTACCCATCGTGTCGCGTGTTCCGTCATCACCAAGAGGTACTGATTACCATTGGATGTCTGAGGAAATGGACCCATGACATCTACGGACCACAAGTCACCTATCGCGGTAACTGGAATCGACTGAAGTGGTGGTCGTATACACCGGTCACCTTTCATCAGCTGGCACCGTGGACATCCAAGTACGTATCTTGCTACGTCTTCTCTCATACCTGGCCAGTACATACTTTGTCTTAGGAGATCGGTCGTTCTGGCCACGCCTGTATGCGCTAGCTGGTGACATTCTTCTATCATGTCGTGGCGCGACGATTGAGGTATGACAGCCAGCCAGCTTCCGTCGTTCTCTCGCCAGGTCAGAGTCCCGTAGGCATTCACTCTGAGTCGATCCCTCTGTCTGAGTAGTGTGGTTAGCTCCTTACTCGCCGTAGTTTGATCCACTTCTATTCCGTTGGTGATCACCTGTATTACTGTATTCAGCGTATCGTCCAACCTCTGCCTACGTGCAAGTCTTAGTGGGTCTTGTTCTACTGCATGCACTCCGTAAGCGACCTCGGGCAACTCAGACTCATCTTCTGGTCTCGATAACAAATCTGCCAAGACATTTTCACTTCCAGGAACGTGTGAGATCGTAAAATCGTACTCCTGAAGACGCAACATCCACCGTGACAACTTCCCCCGTGGGTCTCTCGCTGTCTTCAAAAATTGTAGCGGCTTATGATCAGTTTCGATGTGGAACCGCCGGCCGAGTAAATAAGGTCTCCATTTGTCGACTGCCCATACCATTGCTAAACATTCTTTTTCTATCGTTGAATACTTTCTCTCTGCGAGTGTCAAAACCCTACTGGCATACTCAACGATTCCCTCGTCCTGTCTTAGGACCGCACCTATAGCGTAGTCACTGGCATCTGTGCACACTGTGAACTGTCTTCCTGGCACAGGTAGTTTTAGCGTCATTTGTTGGTGGTCGAGCAGCTGTTTAATTCTGTCGAATGTCCTCTGCGATTCTTCCGACCAAACAAACTTTGGCTCACCTAGTAGCCTGTATAGAGGGGCTGCTATCTCATTGAAGTTCTTCACGAAGCGGCTATAAAACGCTGCTCTACCCAAGAATTGTCTCAGTTTTCTCTTTGAATTCGGGGCTGGAATCGTTTTAATCGTCAAAATTTTCTCCGGCAGTGGTTTAATCTCACCATTTCCCACTTTATGTCCCAACAGAGTAACATTCTTTTTGGCTATCTGGGACTTGGTTTTGTTGACGCGTAGTCCAAACTCTTCGATGCGTCGCAGCACGGCTTCTACATGGTTGACGTGATCGTTTTCGTTTTGACTGTATATGACGAGATCATCACCATAAACCTCCACGTTTTTCAAGTTCCTAAGTAATAGCTTCATCAGTCGTCTGAACGTAAACGGTGCACCTGCTAGTCCAAACGGCATGCGTTTAAATCGATATTGTGTCTGACCCACGATGAAAGCCGTCTTATCTCTATCACCTTGTTTTATCGGTATCTGCCAGTATCCTGAGCGAAGATCGAGAACCGAAAACACATTCGCGCCTTGTAGGCGATCTAAAGTTTCTACCACTGTTGGCATGGCACACGGTCTTAACTCTGTCATACTGTTTAACTGTCGAAAATCAACACAGAATCTATACTAAAAAAAAAAAATCCCACTCACCAGCACTGGAGAGTTGTACGGGCTATCAGCTTCCTCAATAATGTCATCTTTTAACATCTCTTGCACTTGTCGCTCCACTTCGCCTTCCAGATGACATGGAACTCTTCGCGTTGTAAATGACCTTACTTTCGGATCACTTAACGGAATTTCATGATTCACCTTATCGCAATAACCGTATGGGTCGCCATCTCCAGTGAACAGATGATCGTATTTACTAATTAACTCTGTCACATTGTGTACCGTCGGCAGCTTAATCGCTGCTATCTCGCTGGTCTCATACATGTTGATATGCCCGTATTTCGTGACCACCACGTTCGCTTGCGTGTCGATTATGGCACCAATCTCACGCAGAAAATCCGCTCCTAATATCGTTCGCTGTAGTTCGGGTACAACAATGAAAGGAAACGTCACCTCGCAGCCACCAACAACGACCGTACAGTTCGATCTACCCGTTATACGCAACACATACCCGCCTACTGTTTGTACTGTCAATGAACACGGGCTAACACTCTTACATAAATTCTTATCTATTAACGACACGGCCGCCCCTGTATCTATCAAACATACTACTTCTCGATCATTCACTCGCAACTTCGAATACAGAGCGCCTTTCTCAATAGCCCCCACTAAATCTAGGTTCATACGAAAGAAAGAACAAGCATTATACCGTCTGAAATTTTTTCTTTTCCGCCTTTCTGGGCAGTATCTTCTCCAGTGTCCCGGCTTACCGCATTCAAAACACCGGTCTTTTCTATCAGCCAACTTTAACGCCGCCACTTCCCGCTGCAATGCTTCAATTTTCTGCTCATACTCGTTTGGTTTTGGTTGGTCTATAGCGGCTACCGTTGTGCTCAGCAGCTGTCTGGTCACCTTCGCCAGCTCGCTAATATCCATCGGCTGCGTTGCGTTAACCAGTTGTAATCGCTGAGAAATGTGGTCTGGGACACTCTCGATGAATTGGGAAGACAGTAACTGCGCTTCTGATTCTTCATCTAAAGTGGGAAGTGCGCGTCGAAGTAGATTAGTCAGTTTCACCGCCAACACTAGCGGGTCTCCATCAGGTCCAAGCTTCATTGACCGGAACTGCTGCATTGCTAGCTGTCTGTCTGTTTCGCTGTCAAACTCGGAAACTAGTCGTTCAACCAATTTCTTCCAAGACGCTGTGCCATTTGACCTGTCTACGCTGTCATATGCAGCCTTCGCTCGGCCTCTCAACAGCGTCCCCAAGACAACTGCCTTCGCTGCCTGCTCCTTGACACCCACCAGCTCAGCAACAGCCTCGAAGTCACGTAAGAAGCTCCTTATGTCTCCTTCTTCAAACGCAGCTGGCCACGGGATCTTCATTTTCTGGAGGCAGCGACACCAAATGTAACAACAGAAGACAAGGGCGAAGCAACAGATCGTTTTATTATGAAAATCAACACGTATTTATACATCTTTCAACTACATTATTATAGACAAGCGCAGTCATCTGATTGGTTGTTTAGGTAGACAAACGCAGGCTTCTGATTGGTTGTTTCGGGATTCCTTGACAAATAGAGTTCTCTCTGCGAATCATATTTTGCCACGTTAACTTTGCTGTGATTGGTTGTTGACTCAGGCTTGTTCATATTTTCTCACGGCCCATATTAGTGACCTAGACCTTAACGTAGATTAGTGCCAACCAATCGGCTAGCAGCCTGCTCTCACCACACTATGTCGAAAACAGACAGACAGAGAGGTCAGAGGGCACAGCGTCTTGGAAGACATTGGTTGGACGATTGGTGTCGGAGTTCGACAGCGCAATAGACAGACAGTAATGCAGCAGTTCCGTTCAACGAAGCTGGGACCCGATGGAGACCCTTTAGTATTTGCGGTGAAATTGACGAATCTACTTCGACGTGCGCTTCCCACTTTGGATGAAGAATCAGAGGCGCAGTTACCGAGTTCCCAGTTCATCGAGTGTCCCAGACAACATTTCTCAGCGATTACAACTAGTTACCGCAGTGCAGCCGATGGATATTAGTGAGCTGGCGGTGACCAGACAGCTGATGAGCACAACTGTAGCCGCTATAGAGCAACCAAAACCAAACGAATACGAGCAGAAAATCGAAGAGTTGCAATGTGAAGTAGCCGCGCTGAGACTGAGCGTGCGGAGAGACCGGTGTTTCGCATGTGGTAAACTAGGCCAATGGAGAAATCGCTGCCCGGAGAGACGACAAAGAAGAAGTTTTAAAAGATATACTGTGCCTTTTTCCTGTGTTCCGAGACTTGAGGTAATAGGGGCGATATATTCGAAGTTATGTGTAAATAATCGCGAATTGGTGTGTTTAATTGACACAAGGGCAGCAGTCTCACTCGTAGATAGGAGCCTATGTTAGAGTATAAGACCGTGTTCGTTGACAGTACAGACAGTCTTGGGTCACGTGTTAAGAATTGAGGGAGTGTCAGACTGGAGAGTTAGAATTGGAAAGGATAGTTTGACTTTCCCATTCTTGGTCGTACCTGAATTGCCGCACATTGATTAAATATTTAATACTTTAATAGTCAACAACCAATTGTATTTAAAGTCGTGAGTGAGGCGAACGAAATACAAACAACAAAATGGCGTGTGTTAGGGAATTTATATCTACATGACACAATCATTTAGTACTTTTCTCTCTTCTACTTAGTCGTCCTGCCAAAAGTCCAGTATGCTAACCGGTTATGTAATACACTATATCATCAAGTTTAGATAATTTTTTTTTCATAAGTACGCAGTAAATATAATTTATAAAAAAACTTACCTGAGAAACAAAAAGTTTGTTGAATTCATGTATACCGGTTTTTGCTCGATCTAAACAAAGCAATGACTCCAGAAACATAAGATCTGATATTGCATTTTGAGCACTTATCAATTCACGAAGAATAATAACTTCCTGTCTAAATTAAACAATTACGATCATATAACCATGGTATAAAAAAAAATCTAACTTGATTATTTGTGAAATATAGGAAAACGCTTTTGTAAAAACATTTCCATCAATTGTAGAAAGTCTACTTAGTATATCTGAGACAGATTTAATCGCTGTAGTACACTTTGTAATCAAAAATAAAGGATTCTCTGTAAAATTTCGATATCTAATTCAAAAATCATTAAGGATTAAGGATAATCAACTGAGCAATACATGAGTTGAGAAAAATTCGACAGACAAAAACACTTTACCTGATTGTATTTACTGCAACATACATGCAAACAGAAAGAAATAGTGAATAACATTGTTGCGCTGACAAATCACCCTGCCAACAATGGATGAATACATTTCATTGACATGCTTGACGCGTTATTTATAAATGAATACAAAAAATGCCATATCTCTACAACAGAAAATCTTGACTGACCAATTCACACATTGTAAATACAACAAATAAAATATGCGGTGGTAGGTTCGGCAGCCCTGGATGTAAAACTTCGACCGGAACAAGCTGGATTCAGGAGAAACAAGTCATGTATTGATCAAATCGCCACTCTACGGATCATCTTTGAACAAAGCTTAGAATGGCAGTCACCTCTCCACCTCACTCAACTTCATCGACTTTGAAAAGGCCTTCAGCGGACAGCGTTGATCGAGAGGTGATTTGGCAACTACTTCGCTACTACGGGGTGCCATCGACAATTATACATCTCATCCAACAGTTATACTACAATGCTGCATGCCAAGTAATCCACAACGGGAAACTTACGGAAGCCTTCGAAGTGAGACAAGGCTGTCTACTATCGCCAATGATCTTCCTGATTGCAATTGATTGGATAATGCGACAGACAACGACAACCAACGAGGGAACAGGCATAAAATGGACTGACACAAAAGACTTGGAGGATCTGGATTTCGCCGATGATATATGTCTGATTTCCTATAAACTGGAAGATATGCAAGTGAAAAGTAACAAGTTGGCAGAAGAAGCATCAAAGATAGGACTTCCTTCAGGTGAACATAGATAAAACAGATTCCTGGCCAACACGAACACCAACAGCAACAACAACAGACAACAATCACCCAGCATAAATGGGAGGAACCTGAAAAAAACAACCTAATACACCTAACCACCTGGGAAGCATAGTTTCAACTACAGGCGAGGATATCAAAACCAGAATCGGAAAAGCAGGACAAGCTTTCATTTCTCTCAAGTCTGTGTGGAGGTCAACAGCACTCAGAACCAAAAATAAGATCCGGATTTTCAACTCCAATGTGAAGTCAGTGCCACTTCCTATACAGATCAGAGACTTGGCGCGTCATAAAGAGCATCTCAAGCAAACTTCAGACCTTCATTAACAGCTGTCTTCGCTCGATACTCAAGATCATATGGCCGACCAGAAAAGATCAGGAACAGGGATCTCTGCCAACGAGCGAACCAACCAGGAACCGCTTGTGAAACAAACAGGCACGAAGAAATGTAGGTGGATTGGCTATACTCTGAGGAAAATATGGAGTGACATCACTAGGCAGGCCATCGATCGAGTGAAACCCGAAAGGGAAGCGGCGAGTTGGTCGTCCAAGGGTGACTTGGAGGAGGTCAAGTGAAGAAAAAATGAAAGCATGTGGGCAGACTTGGAGGGGAGTGAAAAAGTTGGCAGAAAACCGAAGGCAATCGAGACGCGTGGCTGAAGCCCTAAGTTCCTCTAGGAATTAAAGGATATAATAATAATAATAATAATAGGATTCAGCAGCAGAACGCTATCCAGACACTCGACAGATCTAGTTTCGATATCCCGCTGGTGAAGTCTCAATCTTGGTCAACACTAACCCCAAAAACGAGAAGCTCGGATGTATATTTAGCAAGACTATCACGCCATAAAACCTACTCAACACTCAAAGCAATGAAAACAATGATAAGTCAGTGATGTAATTAACTTGCATGACACACACCATGTCTTCAGAACAAATGTTTAGACTGTCAATAAATAGAATATCTCAAACTAACCATTAGTGATAAACAACCTCAATTTAAAAATCACAATCAGATAAAACCACGGATTTCAACAGTAGTACCCATATCTTAATAAAACATACTTCAACTCAATTTCAGGTTGAAACTAAGCCCGGATTAGATCTTAGATGATTAATATTTCTGTGTAAGATGTGATAACTTGAACACAACCGTGAAAGAAGCGATGATACAGTCGTACAATCATAAAAGATTCATAGAATGTAGGGAAAAATCAGTAACTTAGTTCAAGGTTGTGATGCGTTTGGTAATAGGATGGTACAAAAAATTATTAGGATTGAGTGGAAGTTAGTATAAATTCAATAAATGGTAAAGCAGAAGTGGAGATGAGTTCTCAAAAAACAGTTATTACATTGAGAAAGTTTGTACCTTTTATAAATTTGGAGTGTTACTGGAAGACGGAGATCATCTACAACATCTGATGTATTTGCTTGCGCTTTACAATTCGAACAGTCTGATCACGTATCTACTTGTCGAGTTGGCAAATATGAAAAAAATTAAGAGTATTTCAATTACACAAAGTGACAGAAAGGATTTAAGAATAATTAACACAACGTTTGGTAATCAAATCAAATAAGGATTACCAAGGTAGTTAAGAGTAACAATAAACTGTTTTTGACCACACAAGGAGGGGGGCTTAAGTTTATGAATAGCTATAGCCTCGGCGTATTTCAATAAGCGCCCTTGACCGTTTTTATAGAAGAGTCTAAAAGCTGTGTTAACATCAGTCTTATGGTTCACCTCGATTAGGTGTTTGGCTATAGATGAAGTTGATAATCTGACACCTGCGTCTATTGATTTCCCACAATTCTTTTGTCTTTGTAACCATTTCGGGATATTCTCCCCCACCATCACATGCAAAGTACTATTACCACTCTCTATGTATATGTGTCCTCACAGACACGAGAATTGGTAAATAGTGTTGGATGTGACATAATCCTTGTGCACTTTTGAGGTTTGCAGCGAAGCATATTCCTCGCTTTCTCAACATTTACAAGCTGGGCTGCATAACAGGTTCTACGGATGATCGAACTCAACCTTTGTCTCAAAATCCTACTGTTTATTTCCCCGTTATATGGTAATTTGATGAAAACATTTTTCTTAGGGGCAGTATGGATTGTAGGTTTACAGACTAATTGACTTCTACACCTGTTTAGAAATTTTAAAGGATATCCGTTTTCAACAAGAGTATCCATCAATATTTTGTTCTTTGTCTATAACATCAGCCGTATAAATACAAATACGTTGAATCCTCTTAAATAGACATTTCACTAAGCCTCTCTTATACTGTAATGGACAGAAACTGTGAAAATTAAGGTACTGCCCTGTCCAAGTGGGCTTTCTGAACATTGATAGTCTTATTGAACCATCATCTCTCCGACTCAGAAGTATGTCTAAAAATGCAAGCTGGTTGCAACTTTCTTCCTCGCATGTAAGACTTATATGATTCTGTGCAGAGTTAAGTCTGTCTAATAGACGACTCGCATCTTCATGATCGTCGCATATCTAAATGATATCATCTACATATCTCCTATAGAAGGGCAATTTAGAAATTAAATCAAGGAACAAGTTCTCAACATAAGACATGTAAACGTCCGCTAACAAAGGTCCTAATGGACTCCCTATAGCAACACCATCCACTTGTCGAAAATGCTCACCTTCAAGCGTGAAATGGACGTTGTCAGTACATAATAGTAATAAATCTTTCAAATAAGTTAAAGGAAAAGGAAATGAAAAGCAACTAGAAGATATATAGTCACAAAGAATATCAACAGTCTTAACCAATGGTACATTAGTAAACAAAGAATTAACATCAAATGAATACATTTTCCTATCTTTTATGTTCATATCTACAAGACAGTCAACAAGTTCAAATGTATCTTTCAAAATAAACTTACATAATTCATTGCGTACTGGACTTAAAATATCAACTAACCATTTTGCTAATTTATGTGTTGGAAAGTGACGCATTGATAGAATTGGACGTAATGGATTATCAACCTTATGAATCTTGGGTAATCCATGGAGGTTTGGGAAGTCAGATACCATGGGTTTCAAGGAATTAAACTCCTGTTTATCGATAATGTCCATGCCACGAAGTTTTACTAAGTGAGGAGTTACTTTTCCTTCCAATTTTCTGATATCATCAGAAGGAACATCGGCTATGAATTTGCTTTTGTCACTAAGGATGGATAACATTTTTGTTTTGTAATCGCTTCTGTACATTACAACTACACCAGATCTTTTGTCAGGTTTCAAAATAACTAAATCGGATCTATTACGTAATTGCTTTAGGGCTTTAAAATGAGTTGATGTTAAAATGCTTCTTTGTTTCCGACTTGAATTACGGAATTGGTGTGCCACATCTACAAATTTAACTTTGAACCAACTTCGGTCATCTGTCGGGGAAGGAGTTAGAGAACTTAACTGACATACAAATTTTCGAACTGAGAATGGATTGCTAAGTCTGAAAAGGTGAAATTGGATTTTTATAAATCTTGTCTCTCAAGTCACACATTCCCGAAGGCATTTTACAAATCTCTTCGATCTTCTAAACTTCAACCGAATTTTTGAAATCTTTTTCGCCTTACGAAATCGAACATTGACAATTCTAATGAAAAGCTATGTGGATTATTAGAACTCCATTTATTGTCATCAAAATTTGGTTGAAGTTTAGAAGACAAATAGATGACAATAAATGGAGTTCTAATAATCCACATAGCTTTTCATTAGAATTGTCAATGTTCGATTTCGTAAGGCGAAAAAGATTTCAAAAATTCGGTTGAAGTTTAGAAGATCGAAGAGATTTGTAAAATGCCTTCGGGAATGTGTGACTTGAGAGACAAGATTTATAAAAATCCAATTTCACCTTTTCAGACTTAGCAATCCATTCTCAGTTCGAAAATTTGTATGTCAGTTAAGTTCTCTAACTCCTTCCCCGACAGATGACCGAAGTTGGTTCAAAGTTAAATTTGTAGATGTGGCACACCAATTCCGTAATTCAAGTCGGAAACAAAGAAGCATTTTAACATCAACTCATTTTAAAGCCCTAAAGCAATTACGTAATAGATCCGATTTAGTTATTTTGAAACCTGACAAAAGATCTGGTGTAGTTGTAATGTACAGAAGCGATTACAAAACAAAAATGTTATCCATCCTTAGTGACAAAAGCAAATTCATAGCCGATGTTCCTTCTGATGATATCAGAAAATTGGAAGGAAAAGTAACTCCTCACTTAGTAAAACTTCGTGGCATGGACATTATCGATAAACAGGAGTTTAATTCCTTGAAACCCATGGTATCTGACTTCCCAAACCTCCATGGATTACCCAAGATTCATAAGGTTGATAATCCATTACGTCCAATTCTATCAATGCGTCACTTTCCAACACATAAATTAGCAAAATGGTTAGTTGATATTTTAAGTCCAGTACGCAATGAATTATGTAAGTTTATTTTGAAAGATACATTTGAACTTGTTGACTGTCTTGTAGATATGAACATAAAAGATAGGAAAATGTATTCATTTGATGTTAATTCTTTGTTTACTAATGTACCATTGGTTAAGACTGTTGATATTCTTTGTGACTATATATCTTCTAGTTGCTTTTCATTTCCTTTTCCTTTAACTTATTTGAAAGATTTATTACTATTATGTACTGACAACGTCCATTTCACGCTTGAAGGTGAGCATTTTCGACAAGTGGATGGTGTTGCTATAGGGAGTCCATTAGGACCTTTGTTAGCGGACGTTTACATGTCTTATGTTGAGAACTTGTTCCTTGATTTAATTTCTAAATTGCCCTTCTATAGGAGATATGTAGATGATATCATTTAGATATGCGACGATCATGAAGATGCGAGTCGTCTATTAGACAGACTTAACTCTGCACAGAATCATATAAGTCTTACATGCGAGGAAGAAAGTTGCAACCAGCTTGCATTTTTAGACATACTTCTGAGTCGGAGAGATGATGGTTCAATAAGACTATCAATGTTCAGAAAGCCCACTTGGACAGGGCAGTACCTTAATTTTCACAGTTTCTGTCCATTACAGTATAAGAGAGGCTTAGTGAAATGTCTATTTAAGAGGATTCAACGTATTTGTATTTATACGGCTGATGTTATAGACAAAGAACAAAATATTGATGGATACTCTTGTTGAAAACGGATATCCTTTAAAATTTCTAAACAGGTGTAGAAGTCAATTAGTCTGTAAACCTACAATCCATACTGCCCCTAAGAAAAATGTTTTCATCAAATTACCATATAACGGGGAAATAAACAGTAGGATTTTGAGACAAAGGTTGAGTTCGATCATCCGTAGAACCTGTTATGCAGCCCAGCTTGTAAATGTTGAGAAAGCGAGGAATATGCTTCGCTGCAAACCTCAAAAGTGCACAAGGATTATGTCACATCCAACACTATTTACCAATTCTCGTGTCTGTGAGGACACATATACATAGAGAGTGGTAATAGTACTTTGCATGTGATGGTGGGGGAGAATATCCCGAAATGGTTACAAAGACAAAAGAATTGTGGGAAATCAATAGACGCAGGTGTCAGATTATCAACTTCATCTATAGCCAAACACCTAATCGAGGTGAACCATAAGACTGATGTTAACACAGCTTTTAGACTCTTCTATAAAAACGGTCAAGGGCGCTTATTGAAATACGCCGAGGCTATAGCTATTCATAAACTTAAGCCCCCCTCCTTGTGTGGTCAAAAACAGTTTATTGTTACTCTTAACTACCTTGGTAATCCTTATTTGATTTGATTACCAAACGTTGTGTTAATTATTCTTAAATCCTTTCTGTCACTTTGTGTAATTGAAATACTCTTAATTTTTTTCATATTTGCCAACTCGACAAGTAGATACGTGATCAGACTGTTCGAATTGTAAAGCGCAAGCAAATACATCAGATGTTGTAGATGATCTCCGTCTTCCAGTAACACTCCAAATTTATAAAAGGTACAAACTTTCTCAATGTAATAACTGTTTTTTGAGAACTCATCTCCACTTCTGCTTTACCATTTATTGAATTTATACTAACTTCCACTCAATCCTAATAATTTTTTGTACCATCCTATTACCAGACGCATCACAACCTTGAACTAAGTTACTGATTTTTCCCTACATTCTATGAATCTTTTATGATTGTACGACTGTATCATCGCTTCTTTCACGGTTGTGTTCAAGTTATCACATCTTACACAGAAATATTAATCATCTAAGATCTAATCCGGGCTTAGTTTCAACCTGAAATTGAGTTGAAGTATGTTTTATTAAGATATGGGTACTACTGTTGAAATCCGTGGTTTTATCTGATTGTGATTTTTAAATTGAGGTTGTTTATCACTAATGGTTAGTTTGAGATATTCTATTTATTGACAGTCTAAACATTTGTTCTGAAGACATGGTGTGTGTCATGCAAGTTAATTACATCACTGACTTATCATTGTTTTCATTGCTTTGAGTGTTGAGTAGGTTTTATGGCGTGATAGTCTTGCTAAATATACATCCGAGCTTCTCGTTTTTGGGGTTAGTGTTGACCAAGATTGAGACTTCACCAGCGGGATATCGAAACTAGATCTGTCGAGTGTCTGGATAGCGTTCTGCTGCTGAATCCTATTATTATTATTATTATTATATCCTTTAATTCCTAGAGGAACTTAGGGCTTCAGCCACGCGTCTCGATTGCCTTCGGTTTTCTGCCAACTTTTTCACTCCCCTCCAAGTCTGCCCACATGCTTTCATTTTTTCTTCACTTGACCTCCTCCAAGTCACCCTTGGACGACCAACTCGCCGCTTCCCTTTCGGGTTTCACTCGATCGATGGCCTGCCTAGTGATGTCACTCCATATTTTCCTCAGAGTATAGCCAATCCACCTACATTTCTTCGTGCCTGTTTGTTTCACAAGCGGTTCCTGGTTGGTTCGCTCGTTGGCAGAGATCCCTGTTCCTGATCTTTTCTGGTCGGCCATATGATCTTGAGTATCGAGCGAAGACAGCTGTTAATGAAGGTTTGAAGTTTGCTTGAGATGCTCTTTATGACGCGCCAAGTCTCTGATCTGTATAGGAAGTGGCACTGACTTCACATTGGAGTTGAAAATCCGGATCTTATTTTTGGTTCTGAGTGCTGTTGACCTCCACACAGACTTGAGAGAAATGAAAGCTTGTCCTGCTTTTCCGATTCTGGTTTTGATATCCTCGCCTGTAGTTGAAACTATGCTTCCCAGGTGGTTAGGTGTATTAGGTTGTTTTTTTCAGGTTCCTCCCATTTATGCTGGGTGATTGTTGTCTGTTGTTGTTGCTGTTGGTGTTCGTGTTGGCCAGGAATCTGTTTTATCTATGTTCACCTGAAGGAAGTCCTATCTTTGATGCTTCTTCTGCCAACTTGTTACTTTTCACTTGCATATCTTCCAGTTTATGGGAAATCAGACATATATCATCGGCGAAATCCAGATCCTCCAAGTCTTTTGTGTCAGTCCATTTTATGCCTGTTCCCTCGTTGGTTGTCGTTGTCTGTCGCATTATCCAATCAATTGCAATCAGGAAGATCATTGGCGATAGTAGACAGCCTTGTCTCACTTCGAAGCCCCCCTCCTTGTGTGGTCAAAAACAGTTTATTGTTACTCTTAACTACCTTGGTAATCCTTATTTGATTTGATTACCAAACGTTGTGTTAATTATTCTTAAATCCTTTCTGTCACTTTGTGTAATTGAAATACTCTTAATTTTTTTCATATTTGCCAACTCGACAAGTAGATACGTGATCAGACTGTTCGAATTGTAAAGCGCAAGCAAATACATCAGATGTTGTAGATGATCTCCGTCTTCCAGTAACACTCCAAATTTATAAAAGGTACAAACTTTCTCAATGTAATAACTGTTTTTTGAGAACTCATCTCCACTTCTGCTTTACCATTTATTGAATTTATACTAACTTCCACTCAATCCTAATAATTTTTTGTACCATCCTATTACCAGACGCATCACAACCTTGAACTAAGTTACTGATTTTTCCCTACATTCTATGAATCTTTTATGATTGTACGACTGTATCATCGCTTCTTTCACGGTTGTGTTCAAGTTATCACATCTTACACAGAAATATTAATCATCTATGGTTAAAACTAGGCACTGCCTTTCAACGTAGTCGCCTTCTAAATGACTACTATAATGATGTGTGACGTGGTTTCAGGGCTTTAGGAAACTGAGGAGAATTTGGTGAAAACAGTAATTTTCATTGATATTCACATTGATGATCAGAACTGAATGGAAAATATACACGATTCACGAACTAAAACCTATGGAAACATACTGGACATGATGGGAAGCGTTTAAATGTGGATGCTAACAGAAATCGTAAATCGTCTTAGCTACTCAATATATGTTGAAAACAGACCCAATATTGACATTCTATTTGTGTACTCTCACTCCTCAAGCTATTCAAATAAATTACTCCATTTGGTGCAAGAAATCAATTCAAGGAGGTTTAAAAAAGTGAAATTATTCTTTAAAAAGTATAAAAAAGGGCGAATAGACCTATTCACTTTCCAAGATGAAACTGTTTGTGATAGGGAAAAAAGACTAACAATCACAAAGGATACAGTGTTACTAACTGACCACGAGCGGCAGTAAGCGTCTGCATATGAACAGCAAATTCATACTGAATATTTAGTGAATTAGGAATGTTACAAACACTATCGAATCCATTACGCAGCGAATTATACGACGTTAGACAATCCTGCTATATGAGATTTGTATTGTGAAAAAAGTACTCACATCTTTTCTGGAAAATAAAGATTTGTTTGGAAATATTTGCAAGGATGAATAATCACGTTCAAGACGACAGAACAAATAAAGTGCTTCGCCATGAGTAATTTTTGAGTCGGCGAAACTTATTTTTCCGGAAATTGGTATTGTACTCTACAAAAAACAGATAAACCAAAACATGAACTTACTGAAAGAACTTTCAGATCTTCCAATTTAGCGGACAAAATACCCCGAAAGAGACGATCTAACAACTCTTCAATGTACTGGATTTGAGGAGAATTCACTGACATCTATAAAAGTAATGGAAATGCACCTAAAAATCTATAAATTACAATTTTGACGAAACAGAAACAAAGAATACATACGAAAAGCAGATGAACTACATTATCGCAAAAGGTATTATTGTGAAAGTCTTCATATTGTTAATTTTCACATACTTCTTAAGGCATACAATAGAGCAACCTATGAAAATATGTGATACAAATAGTGGAATAACAAGCCAAACTAGAAGATAAATGTTTAGAGATATAATAACTAAACCTGAACTACACAAGTGAATAAATTCACGAGGATTCAAGAACACTATCCAGAATGGTTACGAAAATGCAATGCGTGAGATAATTGAACTCCTGGTTAACACTGATCATTCCATCTCAACAGGTACCTCCTTCAAAGTGATCTTCACAGTCAAGAATAACATATCAAAGACAATACGGTTTCGTCTTCTTTGTATTCCTGAAGCTGTGGCTATTCACATAGAAAAACTGGAGCTGTGCAAACAAAAGAGAATTACTCAACCACTTCTACTATCATGGCAACAACGTTGTTGATTTTTGATGAATAGTTTTGTGTTTGCCTGTTTCTTGAATTGCTAATAATTCTTGTATTCATTTAGAGCTCTTACTCAATTCCGTGTTCTCTACTTACTTCTTAATGTGTATCCTGAGTACAACTCACCAAACGATCCGTATTATTACGTAACTCCTCTTTTAACAACTGTGACAACTCATCACGCTTGTTACTGCCCCAATTTCATTAACAACCAATTTTCTTGACCGATTTTGTATTACGTAACTCCAATTACCAATCTTCACCTGTTAAGTCAAAATAACCATGATCATAGATGTTTTATAAGGTTCACATCCTCACCATGGGAGGACACTAGGTTCAAAGTTGAATAGGAGTGCTGTGAGTCATAGCGCGTGGGCTTCATGACATGTTGGACTAGAGCTACGGAAATGCTAGATTCCAGTGGTTTATCGTCAAAGGAGTAAGGCTTGTCCAGTCAGCTGTTGGGGCGTTGAAGTCACCGACTACGAGACGTCGACATTTCGATGTCCAGGAACCTAGCTTCCGTATAATGAAGCCATCTGCATTGCAGTCCGGACTGCAGTTTATAGCAGTGAGGTAGATATCTTGGCCTGTGCATTTAAGTCTGCAGCGTAGAAGTTTGCACGATTCAGTTTCGTGTGTCAGAGCTTTAATGCTACGCACGGTTAGGCATTTCTTGAGGTAGATGACTACACCACCTCCTTTGCGGCTTTGCCAGTCCGCCGTATGTACCATGAATTTTGGCAGGTTAACTTCTTTACCAGTAACATGGGATTTGAACCATGTCTTTGTGATGATGATTTCCGGGTTTTCACTGGCCATCATTATATCCATATCAGTCGGTTCAAAAGGCTGCAGGCATTTGTGTAGCAAACCGTTAACCCAGTTTGGTGCTACTGAATCCTATCTACAGAGGTTTCGGGATCACCAAACTTCGACAACTCGAACAAGAACACCCTTTCCCTGACACAGACGGGTCGAGGACGTGTATTGTTTTGTCAGTGAAGCTAAACGCGTCATCAGTGTCTGAGAGGTAGTTGCTCTTCTCTTGTGGTGGAGGACATTCGCAGTCCGGGAGCTAAAATGCCTCATTGAGCATAGCAACGGCTTCTTTAATACAGAACACAGAAGTAATGAAGCAGTCATTGCATAGTCAGTTTATCAGAGGTTTGCAACAGTGCTTGGACCCCGTAGGTTTGTTAAAATGCTGTGAAACAATAGCTTGTAGTCATCAGTCAGTGAGTTTTTTCTGTGACCTGGGATATGTGAATATTAACGTCAGCAGTTTCCCGTCCAAATTTGGGCAAAGTGGGAGAGGTGGGCTGTTTTCGGTTGTAACATGGGTCAAGTGGGATAAAGTGCACCAACTAGGAAAAAGTTGGACAATCAAGTTTTTCGGGACATGGGCAAACGAGGAAAAAGTGGTCACTATAAGTTAAGTGGCATCTTAGCCACCTGTTGCCCACATCTTTGTCAACCAAAATTACTCATTTAGCCCACACTAGCCAGTTGCATTCTCTGCAGGGACTACAAGCCTTCTTTAACTGGGAATGGACAGGCATACTTTCCAAGGTAAATTGGAACCACAGGATGTAAACATAACCGTTAGGAGCAATTTTCATATGAACCAGAGATGAAAATAAACATATGCGTTTACAGACATAAAGATACGTGTTATGTTATGAGAACACACTCCATATGAATGAAGACTTATTTCGGCCAGAATAAGCTGATTCAAAGTTAATCTAAAGATTTTTAGAGCATACCACACTAGAAGCCAACGCTGTAACAAAGCGTGCAAAACTTACTTTTCTCAAAATTCGCGCGGTGAATGGGAACTGCTGTAACAAACAAAGCAGTGTGAAGATATAGGCTATAACCAGGTGTTTCCACGCAATTGTATTGGTTACCGCGCTTACGGCTACAAAGGTTATAATCGCCTATTTTTGGGGAAATAGATTATATTTCACTAGTTTTAGACTTCTGTAGCCAGAAGGCAGTATTTTGCTGTATTTTGTTCGTAGTAAAGCGTAAAATTGTGTATTATTGTAGCGGTAAATAATTCCCCAAAATTATTGACCACAGCAATCACTCATTGGATGCTGACCACCACTGTTTAAGTCGACTTGTTTAGCTGAAGGCTTCCGGTCAAGCATCCTCGCCATTTGGGGCAGCTTGTAGACGGACGTAGGTCATTTGATCAGCTGATGGATATTGGCGTTATTTATTAGATAAACGTCAAGGTTAGGTCATTTTTCGTTGTTTTTCACACTTTTTACCTATATTCCTGCTAAAAGTTGATGAAATGCGGCTTATTTAGCAGAAAGAGCATATGGTGGTGTCCTTATCCGGACGTAGGTCACAGGCAGTTTACAATTTGCAGAAAATACATAATTTTTCCGTTCAGAAAATGTCTAATTACTTGAAGACACATGTTATAACGACTTTTTGTGAATTTATTTTGCAGTTCAATGGATTACACATGGACATGATGAGGTGGGATAGCTCGTTCTGGTAATTATTTCACTTACTTTGTTGTGTACTACTTTGCCTAAATGCTGACAAGGCTCCTCCACATGTATTTCTTTAATAAAAATCTGCAGAAATACTTAAAAATTATATATGCATAGTATTTCCTTATTTGATGGCATGAAGTTGATGTTAGCAGGCAGATGGAATATCAACTTTGCATTATTGAAAAATGTTGACTAACATAATTATATACAGTTCAAATCATTATTTTGTCATTTCAAACATATTTCATGGTTAATTATTGTGTTTACACTGATAACAATGTCTACATCTGTATAATTCTTATGTTCTTTTTCAGATAATATCTACTTTCGGGAATTTCATGGATTTGGGTGATAAAGAAAAAGAAACCTGCACTGTTGTCGATTTTGTATTACATGTTAATTCATTAATAAATGTATTCCTCGTTATTCGTTTGTTTATTCTACTTGATAAGACTGAATATTAGCCCTTGCGTAATCTGTGAGGTGTAGAGTATGTGAGGCTATCTTTGAAATACTATGTAGGAGCAGATATTCGGAGAAGCCTATTGGTTAAAGATTATGTTGTAGTCAAATAAAGTAAATATGTCTGAAGTGTAGAGGAGGTATTGCGATTATAAAGCGTTTCGAGTTATCTATCGTCTTAGCAGAATACATATACTGATTCGCGATTCATAGTCACAAAGTGAGATTAAATCTACCTGAGATAGTGTGCTTGTGATTTCTGCATGCCGCAGTATACCATAAGGAGAGACTATACCTTTGCTGTTAGATGTATGACTCAGTGCAACTACGGTTATCGTAATAATTAAAAACAGAATGCCTAGGGTTCTCAGCCAAAGAACACGATACGTTGCTATCTGCTCATATAATCACGTAAACAAAAGTTTTCCAGACGCCGCATTTACTCCTAACAGTTTACCCTCAACTTCTAACCTAGCACGTGCTACTTATGTTACTGGAACACAATCGCATTACAACAGAAGCAAGACAGATTCATTGAATTGTTTATTAAACAAAAATTAGATTTCAAATGTACAGATAATTCAGACGAATAGTCCTCTGTTACCGTCAGTAAGTTCCATCTGCGTACACGGTACATATATGTTTTTCCATAAGTCTGAAAAGGTTTAAGAAAAGCATAATTAACTTGGGTATTACATGTATGATCTGAATAAAAAAATTTTCCTGATAAGCATTTACAAGTGATCACTTTACAAACAATATATATATATATATAAGTAGCCCAATAGCTTTCACTAAACTTAAGGGACTTCGCAACTTATCGTTTGTCGATATCCAGTAGGTCCATCGAAGCATCATGAAATGATAAAATTATTTAACGACAAGTTATGCAGTAGTTTCCAAAGCTTGTACAAATATTTTAGCAAAAATGATAACAACTTTATGACAAATAATAGGTCTTGACAGCAATTATAATAACGTTCATGTTCATAGTGACTATAAAAACAGTGACAGATATTATTATCGCAACGAACTCACCATTAACTTAGATAGACATCTACTAATACTACAATCATATCAAATAAATGTATCACTTAATCTTAAGAAGCATGTGTCAACGGAGTTGAAGATTGAACGATCAATTCTTGGTTGTTTGCTCAAAATCAACTTCCCCAATTTTCGCGGAGGCATCAATACGACAGTCATCGTCTCATCGGTCGCTGTTCAGAAAGAAGAGTAAAACATCGTCAGAAGTAATATCATGATTTATTATTGTAATATTTGTTCACAGACCTTAGTTCAGTTATAATATTTATATGTTGGTGTAACAATAAAGAAATCTCAAGCGGCAGATCGGTGTTTTGGTTTTTTCGTCCGTTATAACTAAGCGTTTCTGAAAACTTCAAGGAACAGCGTGGGCCCGAGCGTAGCGAGAGCTGGGCATTAACGGTTTATGAGACGTGATTGACAGTTTTCTGACG